TTGACTTTGTTTCTCAGCACTAGCCTTCACACTGTTTCCCACAGAGGTTACACAAATTTATTGCCCCATCAACAAGGACTAAGTATTTCTTCATTTACACTCTCATCAACTCTTGTTGTTTTCAAGCTTTTTGACAGAGGCTACATTCAGAAGTGAAGTGATATCTTACTGTAGTTTTGAAGTCCATTTCCCTAATAATAAGCAGTGATGAAGATTTTATTTTTTCTCTTATGCCTGTAAGAGAATTAAAAAATTTGTATGGAACTCAATTTGTATTCAATTTGTTTCTGTTATGTCCTTCTGTATATTTTATTTATTTTTTTTTAAAGTTTCTTTATTTATGCATACAGAACTGGGGTACAGGCCAGAGGTACAGGGGCAGTGAGATGATTCACCTTAGACAGAAAGGGGAGTAGAATAGGCAGGTTGAGAAAGTACACCACTGATGGGAACAGGTGAAGGGAGCAGCTGGTGAGACAGGAGAGGTCCACTGTGCCATGTGGATCACCTCCCTGGCCAGGGATTGGACTTGTGCTGAAGCCTCTGCAGCTAGCTTTGTAGCACGTTGTAGCACTGTGTTACAACTCGTTGCACCACCAAGCAGGTTTCCCCTTCTGTGTATTTTCCTTTAAGAAGTATATGTTAAGTCTTTTGCCCTTTTTCTTTCACTATACAGAAAGAAGCTTTTTAGTTTGATATCGTACCATTTGCTTATTTTTGCACTTAATTCCTTTGCCTTTAAATATGAATCCCCAAATACAACTCTGAGGTTGATGTGTATTGCCTGTGTTTTCTTATATGTATTTTATAGTTTCAGGTCTTATATCTAAAGACATTGCTCTCTTTTAATTAACTTTTATGTGTGGAGTTAAATACTGACCTATGTTTTGTTTTGCATGTGGCTAAACAAGTTTCTCTGTACCATTTATTGAACAGATTTCTTTTCTCCATTGTATGGTGTTTACTCTTTTATCATAGATAAACTGACCGTATGATGTGGGTTTATCTCTGTTCTTTATTCCATTGGTTTGTTTTTCTGTTTTGGTCCCCAAAGCATACTGGTTTGATCATTATCATTTTGTAATATAATTTGAAGCAAAGAAGTATAATGCCCCTATTTCTTTTCTTTTCTCTCAGATTTGCTCTGTCATTCTGGGCTCCTTTGTATTTCCATACAAATTTTACAATTGTTTATTCTATTTCTTCTATTTCCTTCAAGTGTGTCACTGGAATTTTGATAGTATTCTTTCAAATCTGTAAATTGCTCTACATAATATGACCATTTTTAACAATTTTTATTTTTCCAATATATGAACATAGGATATTTTTCATTTCTTTGTCTTTTGGTCTTTTTTTTTTTTAATAGTGTCTTATAATGTTTATTGCAAATGCTCTTTATCTCCTTTGCTAATTTTACTGCTAGGTAGAATGAATTCTACTTAGTTTTGATGAATAACAATCTTAGTGTATTATTCTTTTCAATTTACCAAGATTTTGTTAAGGATATCTGTATCTGTGTTCATCAGAAATATGACATTCTATAATATTTTTCTGGCTTTTGGATCAGTGAAATGTTTGCTTATAAAATATATTTAGGAGCTCTTCCCACTCTTGAATTTATTTAAGAGAATTTGAAATCATATGATAGGTACTCTTTTCTTTGCAAACATGGTAGAATTCACTAATGAAACTAACCTGGACTATTGTTGTTAGTGAGACTGACTGACTTTTTTTTTTTTCTATTTTAGAGCATGTGATTGATCTGTTAAAAATTTTCTGAAATAACAATTTCAGTGATAAAAGGAGTCAAATATATAAGCACTAAATTTCTAGTTAGAAAGAATAGTGAGCAGACCAGTAAACTTGGCCTACTTAAATAATGGGATTAAGATGTGAATTGCTGCCAAATGAATGCTCAGGATAGCAGTATGAGATAACATAAGAGAAAATTAAGGAGTAGGTTATATTCTGTGACAGAACACTGGACACCTTGAAATATGGACATATCCTGGTATTATTCCAGTTTACAAAGACTACTGTTTTTGATAAAAAATGCATATAAGGAAAAGAATGGAAGTAATAAAAAGAAAAATCAAGTGTTCAAGCAAAGGAATAAATACAGAGACATGAACTAGTGTGTTAATCATGGAGATATTTGTATCAGTGGTAACACTACTAATGAGGGTACTGTGATGGAAACTGGTGACAAATTCAATATAAAATGAAAGTATTATTTTGTTTTCAAAAAAAGGAAAATCTTAAAGAAGAAAACAAATGAAGTCATTAGTAGATAGCATATATACACACATATATATGTAATATTAATGAAAAACGGTTCTGAGAAAAATAAAGCAATATAAACAAGAATAGCAAATGTTTGAACACCATTAGTATCTGAAAATACACACTGTTTTTCAAAACTGTGCACTAGTTAACTTTTAAAATACGCTTATCTGGCCCTCGCTGGTGGCGCAGCGGGTTAAAGCACAACACAAAGAAGCTTAAGCCAATTTCGCATGAGTCCAATACCC